ATTGAGGATAGATGTAGATGTCTATGGGTCACAGTAACCACTTACCATCAGGTGGACTGTGTGCTCGTTTGTCACCCTTATTCCATAAACAGTTTGTCAGCCTATCCTATAAAAAAAGACATTTTTGGGTAGGTATTTGAGGAGCGCTAAAAACTTGTCAAATACCTATTACCTACCCAAAAATGTCTACCAGCTCTCATACAATTTGTTTGTCACCCTATCCTATAAAAAAAAATTTGCTAAGGCTGAACACTGTTTACAAATTGATTTCACTAACTTATGCTAGTAAAACTAAAATTATTCATGTCGGCTCTAACTAGCTACTCAATTTTGATAAGAAAATCGAAGTAATCGCGCATAGACACCAGTGCTTGCATGTTTTGGAAACAAATAGGACCGGTTGCAAATTTGAGTTGTTAGAGCAGGTTTCTCGTTACAAATACTTAGGACTAGAAGTCGATAAGTGGGGTTATCATATTGACACAATTTGTGACAAACTGAGAGCAATGTTAGCTAAATTTGCTATCTTGAAATACAAAGTACCATTTAAAATATTACTAAATCTATATAATGCACTCGCAGAGTCAATAATTTCATATGGGATCACTAGCTATGGTAGGACATTTAAAACTTATTTGGACAAAATATACAGCCTTCAACTTCGGTTTTTAAAAATTATAACTCCTAATAAAATTAAAAATCAATCTGCTCCGATGACGATGTATTGCCCTTATTTAAATATTGTAAAATCTTACCCGTTCATATAAAAATAAAAATGTGGCTATTAATTGCACAATTTACTAACAAAGAACTACAAATAAAAGTAAATCATAAAATAACGACACGGAAAGTAGTTCAATCAAAACTAGAAATACTATTTTGATTATATTTAATACCAACTCTCATTAACGACATACCAAGTAAAACCCAATTAGAAATAACGGATAATATTATATATATAGGATTATATTGTTTTTCTTTTCATTAAATAAATAAAAAAAAAATTAAGGTGATAGCTGTCAAAAGGTATTTCTTAGATTTCGTGGATAGGATAGGTACTTACTTTATCATTCTGAATTTCAGTAATCATACTCTCCTTAACTGACGGGTCTGGTTGACACTTGACATTTTGGGCTAGAGCTTGAGCGTGCAAAATATTTTATAGGTATATGTGTTGGATTAGCAGAAGCTTACGTCATATTAGCTATCTGTGGGGCAAATTTCAGCCTAAACCCCATCCATTGGTTTGAGCTGTGCGTGTTGATAGGTCAATCAGTCCAGTCAGTAACATTTTCTTTCTAAATATATAATAGATATAAATGTAGAAAAGGTAGGTACTTACTTTGTGGTGCTGTGTATAAGAATTTGTAATGTTCTTAAGAACATTGCAAAAAGATGGACCTGGTTGACACTCGAGATCTTGAGCTGCAGCTTGATTCTGCAAAATAATAAGTCATTTATTTTCCAGACTAAGTGTAGCGCTAGTGCTACATATATAATCTGTTTGGTGGACTATTACAAGATATTATTATTATTATTTTTATAATACTTTGAGGTCTACATTCAAACGGCTAGTTTATATGAAACATTAAAAAGGATATTAAGTGGTTTTAAAACTATAATGAAGAATATAATAGGATTTAAAACTTTTTTAGAATTTTTATAAGGGTTTCTTTTTTCGTCTTGAGGCTAGTTGAGGCACAGAACCCTAAAAATGCTAAGAACGGTATTTTTGGCTAGTACCATAGAAGTGCACCTGTTACTTCAAAATTAGGTACATTGCGAGTAGTAGAAATTGCAACTGTACCACTTCAGTGGAATAATAGCAAAAAGTAGCCAAGGATTATTATTTAATGTTTTATTGGTAGTATACTTACTTTGTGATATTGCATTTCAGTAGTCGTAATATTCTCAACAAGGGAAGGACCTGGTTGAGACTTGAGATCTAGAGATGAACTTGATCCCAGATATTCTTGCAATGCTAGAGTTTGATCCTGAAAAATAACATTATCAATTATTATTTAGACAAAGTTAGGGACAAAAGTAAGAGTGCTACAACAATACCTAACATTTTTATTGAATTTGAATTACATAAATAAAAAAGAATGCCTACATTGAAAAATATAAAATATTAGCAATCTGCCTCTGCTTCACAAGGGCGATTTCTAGATATCGACAAAAGCACCACCTACCGGGTTCAAATGTGAACCCTAAACCATCTAGAGACCCATTCAAACACAAAAAAATTATTGAATTGAAATGAAAAAGTATTGAATATTGATATGGGTTAATGCAACTGACATTGATGCCATATTTGTTTTGCAAAAGAGAGCCGTATGGGCGATTTATAACTTAAATTGTAAAGAGTCCCTTAGAGAAAATTTTAAAGAAAACTTTGGCATCGCAATATATTTATTAAAATGTAATGTATGTATATAAAAACAAATAGCAGTCTATGTGTAATATGGGGGCCGCAGTAGTTGTACAACAAAAACACTATTAATGTAGAAGTTAAAGTAACTTGATACCTAATATGTATATGAAAAGTACAAACAAACTTACCGAATAGCATTTTTAGGCCCAGGTTTAGGAAACCGAGACAGTTTAATGCCTGGCACTTGTTTGGAAGATCGCCCACATTTTGCACATTTCCTATAAATGTTGGGTGCCATAGTGAAATAGGTAAGAAGGTGGATATCTATAACCTGTCGGAAATATCTGCGAACCTCGCTGGAATGCGCTTCCCCTCGCGCTTCCCCGCACCTCCGCCCGTTATCGTCTATCCAGTACCGTTGCCATCTCTCCATATTGCATGACGTCCTCAAGCCAGGTTCGCAGATATTTCCGCCCGTTATCGTCTATCCAGTACCGTTGCCATCTCTCCATATTGCATGACGTCATCAAGCCAGGTTCGCAGATATTTCCGACAGGTTATAATTAAGTTCACAATTTTACACAAACTATGAAAAGAGTCCGTATCTCACTTGAGTTTATCAACTTGTCACCAACAACACTGCTCTGGTTCGACCGACACTAATGTGGAGGAGCGAAATTCACTCAACTCAACGCAATAATAGAAGTGTAATAAAGTAACAAATTAAAGGAAAAACAAAAACAACATCAATCAACAAATCTTCACAAATCGTTGAAATTTGAAGTGAATGAAAACGTGCACGCTTGTTTTTTTAATTTTTAAGTGCTGCCATTTTATAAATTAAATATTCTTCTATAAACATGAACAAGATAGCCGGTATTTTATAGGATGCATTTCGGTGAGTGTGCGCAGGAATTACACGCTTTAATTCCTTCCTCTCCTTTTCGTCATTGGACAACCAGGCGGTCGGCGGGTCTTCACCCCTTAGTTGCCGATATTCTACGCATTATTATTTGCTTCGTCTTTTGTAATGCAAAGCAGTGGAATAATTTGCCAGCGTTTATCTTTCCGTCCGAATACAATCTAGGTGCCTTCAAGGCAAGAGTGAAAAGGCTTTTGTTACGCTAAGACAGTGCGATTTACCATCTAGGGCTACATCACCACTTACCACCAGATGGGATCGTGGTGAAGCACTGGTTTATAATAAGTTAAAAGAAAGATCTGTTGCTGATGCTTTAATCAAGTTTATTTACTGATCAAACGTAATCAATATTTTTCTTTATACCAGTTTGTACAACTACCAGTTTGTAAAGCGCAGTCTATAGGACGATTTTTTGGAAAACTCAGATAATTCCCAAATTAACAAAATCGAAAGAAAATCCAGAATAACAAATTAAAAAAAAAAAGCAACATAGTATTTTAAAATCAATAGATAGATACAAAATCAATTGGTGAATTCTCTCATTTTAGAGGTTTTCAAATAACTTGGCAATTTTGTGGTAGAAATCTGGTAAAACAAATGACCAAATTAATAATTTTGTTACCGCGCCATCTACGCGGTTTACTAAGTACTACATCGATCTGCGAAGCCGACGTAGTTCTTAGCGAATTTAGTCGATGACGCTACTGTTTATTAATGCCGCATAAGGTCCCATACATTAGTTGACAAGGTGGTGTGGATTATTGCGTATGCATAGACTTAATATATAAGTGCCCTCTAGTGAGATTAAAATAAGTTTAGTTAGTTTTCGAAATGTAGATGGAAGCACATAAAACGTATCATTTTGTTAGTAAAATAATGTTCTAAGTTACATGCCCATGGTATGGAGGATAGAGGTACCTCAAAGAGTATAATAAGTAGGTACCTCCATAGCTCAAGGTAATCTGACAAGCTTTATTTACCATTGTTGATAATTGATGCCGCTAACGATAGACTATCTACTTCGTTTTTCTCTAATAAAATATTTCTTACATACCTTGCACTCTATTAACAAAACTATGTTTTGCTAAAATGAAGTATTTACTTAACTTTTATTTACTTACTTTTCTTAATGTGAGTGTGAATGTGAATGTGTTTATTTATGAAGAGATCAAGAGAGGCTTTCAATAAAGCAAATTGTTTGCGATAGATGTCGCTGTTAGACTTAAAATTTAGCTTAAGTTACACGTTGTAAATAAAGTGAAAACTGAAAACTGAAAATAAAGCAAATAAGCACGGAATAAGCAGCATCATTTTCCCTGATTTTATTTTGGATAATTTTGTAATTGGTTATTACAGCAATGTGGTATTTAGGATGTTTGTGCGATACTTAAAAGTTAAAATGCTTAAATATTATAGATACCTTTATGGTTAAGTTCGATTCGACTCAAGTTATTACTTATCCCCACCATCTCCCGCACTCTTCCGAATGGCGCACAGCGAGAGGTCGTGCTCGCGCTGTCTGGCTCGTATTCCGCTCGTTTAAGTGTCGTGTTTCTGGTGTCCTCGTGTTTGCTATACTTTTTCTTTTGTAACATGAATATACTGTGGTCTAACAAGTGATTTTAAAATAAGTTCTAGTTAAAAAATGTGTTACGTATAATTTCTTTACTCCATATTATATTTTACCAACTCAACAATAATAATATGGGGTCCAAAATCGAATACGTTGATTCGTCGCACCTATACGCTACAAACTACGTTCGTAATTCGAAAGCCATAGGTGTGCTTTGGGCTATTTTCACAATTTGCTATGCCATTATAAGCGTTGTGGCCTTCGTGACGCCAGAGTGGATTGGTGATTTGGAGACTGAATATCCAAGAAAGTTTGGCTTATGGCAAATATGCAGAGCAGACGAATCAGTGGAAGATTGTAAAGGAAAACTAGATGACTTTTTCTCAATTAACGGCTTTGTATTCCGGATTGCGACAGTGTTAGTGGGTTCAGCTGTCGCTTTAGCGCTGTTTACAATATGCGCGATGCTGTTGTTCTTCTTTTGCCAATCTACAACGGTGTTTCACATCTGTGGATGGCTGCAGCTGTTATCAGGTTAGTAAATATCCTTACTTACTTTAGGGTGACATACCAAACAATAAATAGTCCATAGTATAAAGGAGCGAACATTCATTAACCGTAGAGTTAAATTAAATTATGTAATAATATGTAAAATTTAATTCTTTAAAATATTATTTTAATTAGCATCAATCTCTAATTAACTTAATAAATTCAGACAGGTGAAAGTCTAAAACTACCTCCTACATTTGTCTGCTTATTATATGACCTTCCAACGTCTCGGCAAAGTGTAAATTTGTTTGATAATGTCAACTGCATTCAACTTGTATTTCATCGAATATCGTAAAGAGAGAGAGAGAGAGAGAGAGGGCAACTTTAAACATTTCTTAAAATTTAAAATTGACAAAATTTTTATGAATATGATAAGTAGTGTTAGTGTGTATGTGTGTGTGTGTGTGTGAAGGTTTCTTGCTGGTTAGAATAGAATAGAATGATTTTTATTCAATATGGATTATTACATAATACTTCTTGAAAGTCATTATTTTATTTACCACCAATCCACTCTGGCGTCTTCCCAGGACAGATGTATTTTCCTAAACAGTGGTTAGGGTTAAACATAAGAGTTATTTTTAGGTCATAAGTTGTATTTATAATCTATATTGAATAAAAAAGTTTATATTTCTATGTTATTAACTAATTTTATTTCGCATGCTCATTATTTTTGATTGCGATGTGACGTCATACGTGTTCCGTACATTACTCACCGATTTTAAATGTCAAACTGTATTTTCAATTACAAGCCGGTTAAGTTGGTATGAAGCATTGCACATACTGCATTGTTTTTAATTATTTTTTTTGCCTCCTGTGCATTCTATTATAAATGCCGGGAACTGTATGATATGAACAGGGTTGCCAATTTTGCCCGAATTCAGTATTATCGCGATTTAAGATTCCTTTAATATATTTGTATAATATTTGCTGATTGATTCAGCCCAATTGATATTAAATGGCTACTGCCGACCTTTGACACCTCAAAATAAAAAGGTCTAAGCGTTGTCACTCCAATGGACTAAGTTTAAATGTATCACAGCCTGTAATACACTGAACACAGCCGGACGTAAACTGCTCCTTGGCGGCAAAAAAGCTAAAAGGGCACCATGCTAGGATTAGACGTGGAGTGGCGGTGTAAGAAAATCCCCTACCCTCCTATCCACTATCGTCCCGTGGGTGTCGTAAGAGGCGACAGAGGGAAACAAAGCAACAGGTGGGCAGAGCCGTCTTCTTAAAATCAACTAGAAAACGATAACTGCGGCAGTAACTCACTTGCCAAGCGTGGCAACTATGGCAAATAACCGTATGAAGCTATGAAGCAATTTTTGGGGAGGCCTATGTTCATCAGTGTACTTCGATAGGCTATAATCAAGAGAAATTTGAGTATTTAATTTAGGAATTAGGACTGCCGTGCAAAATTTTCTATTAACGTCCCGAAATTTAAACACATATTAAAAATATGAATTTATGTCGAGACAAAAGTATTTTTGTGATAGGTATTTCGTTTTTACTTTGTTTTTATAAAAAAAAAATTATGCGTAAGTTGACAACCCTAGTGTTAGGACAGGTGCGTTACATAGCAAACATCCGGCTGACCTGCAGGTGTGGTGTGTCGCGTTATAGATTCCTTTTCTACCGACTTCAAAAGGGAGGAGGTACTCAATTCGACTGTATATTTTTTTAATGTGTGTTATATCATAACTTTTTACTTGGTGGACCGATTTCGATGATTTTTTATTTGAAAGCTGGTGCTTCACATGTGATCCCATATAATTTTTTAATTAAGGTTTTTGAGTTATTCTTAATAATGTATATTGAAGTCGGTTGTACAAAATTTTTAATTTTAAATTACATTTTAGGAAAAAAATTAGGGTTCCGCATAAAAAAGATATTATCACCCATGAAATTCAATCACAATAAATTCCACGCGGGCGAGTTGCGCGGAACAGCCAGTAAATGGTGTGTTGCTACGACACGTGGCTATCACTGAAATTATATTTGTTTTACAGAAAAGGGTCATATGAGCAATATATGGTTTAATGCCTAAAGAGCCAGTACATTAACTTTCGCCTCTCAATACATTTATGAAAATGTAATGTACGTACACAATAATTTAAAATTAAAAATTTTGTACAGCCGACTTCATTACGAGTTATTAAGAATAACTCAAAAACTATTGGTCTGACCTTGATCAAATTCATATGGGATCACACGAGAACTATCAGCTTTCATATAAAAAAAGAATCATCGAAATCGGTTTGCCCAGTACAAAGTTATGAGGTAACACACATAAAAAAAAACATACATTCGAATTGAGTACCGTCTCCTTTTTGGAAGTCGGCGGAAAATAAAAGTAGTTATACAAAAATAAAGTGATATTCATTCTATAAAGACTAGAAACAGACACAAGTTAGTAGTACCAGTTACTCGACTCCACCGAGTCAGTAATTCATTCTTGGGGCGATGTATACGCTTTTACAACAAAATCCCATAAAATATACAAAATTTGACCTGCTCAAAGTTCAAAAACTAAGTTTGTATAAAAAGGATTATTATAATATTAAGGAATTTATGGATGATAATAACCCCTGGGAATGAGGCGATCGCTACCAAGCTATTTCTAATTTGTTTTGTGTTGTTATTGTGTAACATAGGTACATAATTGTAAGCTGTTATTTAAAAAAAAAGTCCCGCTGGATTTCTTGATGGTACTGGTTTGGCGGATGGGAGCTAGACGACAAAAAATGTAAGATTTTTCCGTCACTACCCCTTGTGACATAGTGTATTTTATTTTAAATGACGCTTCATTTTAATAGACGCTAATCAATAATATAATACGTTTATCAATAATAATATATTAGAAGCGTCAGTAGCCTAATTAATGGTAGGGTGCGGACCGCGAATTCGAAAGGTCGTGAGTTCGAATCCGCCATTCTACTACTGTAGTGAACCACTTTGAACACAAGCATTTTAACCTTACCAGAGGTGGTTTAAGGGAATATTAGTAATGTTTAGTAGCATAACTAATATTTAAAAAAATTAATACTATGAAAGTAACTTCGTTCCAATCGAGTGTTCAACGACACTCACACACGTTTTTTTATTATTATTACCACGTTTTTATTAGCTCGCTTTCGAGTCTGTCTCTTCGGGTCGAATTTAGTAATTGATTTTAAACTAACTTCCCGATGAGCTGGAGCTGTGAAACCTTAAATAAGAAACGTGGTAAATATGGCCATTTTGAATTATGATTATTGCTGTTGACGTTGCAGCTTGTGTATAAACTCTAAAAAGGTACAACTCGTCCAAAATGTCACGGATATCGAAAGTAACACATTTAACGGAAAGTTCAAACAGTTATATTATATGTATGTATGTCGAAACGATGACTCTGTGCTGAGTGCTGACAGCCGCTAAACTTGTTTTACGAAGTTATTCAAATGTGGGTTGTGGCGTCCAGGAAGTGACGCGGACATTTTGTTGTTGCCATAACATTACGATTTTTATCTGTGTTATAAAATTAGGCATTCCTTTGCGAAAATAAAATTACTCAAAATTGTTACTTCCAGTGCTCTACATTCACTCTACAGTCATTACAGAGTCAGTAATTCATTCATGGGGTAATCTATACGCTTCTTACTATATTACTTACAATTAATTTCCAGAAAATTTACAAGGTCTCTCTATTAACAAGTTTAAATATTTAATCAAAGAAAAACTGTATAAAACTGGTTATTTTAATATAAATGAATACATGGTTGATAATAACCCGTGGGAATGAGGTGGTCGCTCCCAAGCTGTTTCTTAAATACGTTTTGTAAATAGTTTATATAATCTGTGTTTTATGGTAATATTTTACTTTGAAAAAAAATCCCGCCAAGTTTCTTGCTGGTTCTTTCCTGGATAGTGTTTTTCTTTGTCAGAACTAGTCTTGAAGGTAAAAAAATACTTTTTTATGGGATAGGGTGACAAACGAGCACACAGTCCACCTGATGGTAAGTGGTTGTTGTGACCCATAGACATCTACATCTATCCTCAATAAAGAATGAAAATGCAGATGCGTTGTCACTCGTGAGGACTAAGATGGAATGTCTTGTTTCGAGTAAAAAGGGTTTCCGATTCTCTACACTCACCATACAAAACACAGCAGCATTAAGCTGCTATTTTACGTGCACTATCCCCGTCACCACTAATCGGAGTAGTGGTGCTGGGATTAGTGGTAAGACACATCATTTTATTTTATAGAGCCGATTTTGCGAAGTAAATTTTTTAAAAGCTTTAGTAAACGTTCAATAAGAATTGCTTGTAATTTATATTGAATGAAAATAATTATATTCTATTCAATATATATGGCCTATCAAAGTTAAAGCTAAAAAAAGCTGGACATAGTACTCACCCATAGATCGGTTCATAGAGGGGATATTCGCGATAGTTGCCACGCTTGGTAGGCGGGTTCGTTACCGTATTGCATGCCTTAAGGTGACACTAGTCGACAATATTTCCATTGATTTCCATACAAATTTCGGAGGGGTTTTACTACGCTGTTTGACAGTGTACATCCAAAGTTAAACATGATATCGTTTTGTCTCATTATCAAATTTGTCTGTACGGAAACAGAATAGTAAAATAAAATGTTATTAAAAAGTTACGAGCTACCAAAGATTCGTTTTTATTGCCAATTTTAACACAACTTTGGGCGTAAATTAGTAATAAAAGAAGTGTGAAATTTCCAAAACAAAGTCGGTACCGACACAGCTCAATTATCGAAGAATTCAAGAAATTTTATTCGTAATTAATTTATGCAGTGGTTTTTTCATAAAACCCCTTCTTCCAAAGGCCTTTTCGTATTTTTTTACGCGCGTATGTTACTATGAATTATCGTGCATCTCACTGAATAATGTTTGCCCCGGTGCGGTGCGGGAGGACGACGCTTACACACACATGCACGGGCGGTGACGCGGGCTTATTCGAGTTTTATTCGAAAC